TGAGAAAAGCTATAACAAGGATCATTCAGGGTTTATATTTTGCCAGTTAAGTAAAACAAAAAGTCAGTTGGCAAGGGAGTCTGAAGTATTTGCACAAGATGTATTGAAACTATGAATTAGGGGATTTAAGATGGGTAAGTCGGTAAATAGATAAGATGGAAACTAGTAGGTAAGAACTGATAGAAGTATCAATGATTTGGTTGTTCCATAAGGTCAAAGCTGGTTGTAGTGAAAGGGAATTGTGGTCTGAGAATAAGATACTTGAATTAGTGATTACTGACTGCAGCTCTCTGATGTAGCTATTACTTCATTTAAATGGATTGAAAAACAGGCTTGGGTAAATTCATAATTTGCCTTTGATTGTCCAGCTAGTAAGCAATGAAGCTCTGATTGGAACCAAAGTTTTATGCAGGTCAAAAGAAAAGTGAATGTAGGAGTAGAGTTGAAAGAAATTTGAGCTAAATATTATGGAACCATGAACTATTCCCACAGTTGATTCATCTCTTGAGTTTTTTTATGTCTGTTGCTCAGGTAAAACCTCATGGTTATTACTCTTCTTTCCTCTTCTCTTATATCTAGTCTATCATTCTGGTATCTACCTTTCCCTTTCCGTTCTCACTGCTGCTACCTCACTTTAGTTTCTTCTTTCTTATATCTGGGCAACTAAAATATGATCATCCTTTCTCTCCACTTCTGATCTAACATTTACTTACCTATCTTCTGATCTTGTATCTTCGTGATTTCGGGCTGCTATAAGAAATTGCCATACACTGGGTGGCTTAAGCCCAGATATTTATTTCTCATAGTTCTGGAAGCTGAGAAGATCATGCTGCAGCAAATCTGGTATCTGGTGGGGGCCTGCTTCCTGGTTTATAGACAGCCATCGTCTCATAGTTTCCTCACATGGTGTTTGGCCATATGTGCTTGCGTACGCATGTGTGTTTTCCCTTTTGTATATTGTTCTTTTTATCTCATTCCCTTTGCATTGTTATCCTGTCTGATCTTTCTCCCATACCCATTTTCCTTTCAGTGAAGTCTGCCAATCCTTAGTGAGACATAGCTCTGGAATAAAAGGAAGTCTGCCACTACAAAAAGTGCATCTGATTTCACGAAGTATTTACCATTCACATCATCCTACTTCAAAGCTTCAAAGAACCCAATTGAGGACATCATTTCATCAGTTTTCCTCTCTATCTAACCATCCTTTACGTAAATTGAAACTTTCTCCGATTAAATATGGCTACCAGCCCCGCAGGAATTTTTGGCCAGCAAGATTAGCTGCAAGACTCTTAAAACTTCGATATCTCGTACTGGGATCTGCTGTTGGGGGTGGTTATACAGCCAAAAAGGTGAGTTTAACTTTCCTAGTGCTTTTCCAGTTACTCAGCATGATTATTGTAAGGTTTTATAGCAAAAGTAATTTTTCTTTAGACCAAGAAAATATAATTGGATGTTTAAATATTTATTGTGTCTCTACTATATGCCAGATTTTTATTGCTTGATTAATCTTAGAGATGGAGGAAGAGAGAAAGAGAGAGAGACATCAATGTGAGAAAGATACAACGGTTGGCTATTGACTGCCTCCTGCGCAAGCCCTGACCAGGATCAAACTGCAACCCAGGTATGTGCCTGACTCGGAATCAATCCCATGGCCTTCCAGTGCACAGGAGGATGCTCCAACCGTCACACCACCAGGATTATGCCGGATTATTTCAATAGGCATTTTCCTATTGCCACCCAGTGTGTAGCAATAGGAAAATGCCTCCCAAATTTTAGTTACAAGTATTGGAGGTAAAAATGGCCCAGTGGAGCTCTGGCTGGTGTGGCTCAGTTGGTTGGAACATAGTGCACCGAAGGAAGCGTTACGGGTTCAATTGTCAGTCAGGGCACATACCTAGGTTGCTGGTTGGATCACAGGTCAGGGTGTGTATGGGAAGCAGACGATGGATGTTTCTCTCTTATATCAATGTTTCTCTCTCTCTCTCAAATCAATTTTTAAAAAACCACATATCCTTGGGTAAGGATTTAAAAAAAAAAAAAAAAGCTTAGTAGAAGAAACTATGTGCTGGGATTGAGAACACTTTGGTTTGATTTTCAGCTTTGCCATTTAGTGGCACAGATAGGAAACGTAGTGGTGTATTCATGAAGCCACTTCTTGGCTGGTACCAGAGACAACATGTCCTGACCCCTGGTCTGTCTTCCTTCTATTCCACAGTGTTGTTTAAAGCCACATCATAAAACCTGTTTGAATGAGAATATATTTTGGATTTTTACATTTTTCTTTAGTGCAGAAAGAAAAGGAACATTTACATTGTTATATGCTTGCCTACTAATTTGTTTTTTAGAAGAGTTGAGGCCACTTCGTTCCTAGAACTTTTGAACATAATGTATCACTCTTAATAGATTAGCATGTTTTCATTAAAATAGTTTTTCTTACATTTTTATACAACATGCAGAGCATTTGATTGGCATTCTTTCTTATCTTTTAGACTTTTGATCAGTGGAAAGATATGATACCAGACCTTAGTGACTATAAATGGATTGTGCCTGACATTGTTTGGGAAATTGATGATTATATCGATATAGGTTTGTATTGTCAAATTTTTTCTGTCATATTTATAGGACAAAGAACTACTAGTGTTGAGATAGTTTCCTAATTCTTGAGTTGAATGTGTAGTAATTTTATTTTAATCATAAAAATAATAGAATAATGAAAAATTTATGAGGAAAAGAAAAGGATCCTCTATCAGCGGTTCTCAACCTGTGGGTCTCGAACAATGAAAATACATCCTGCATATCAGATATTTACATGACGATTCATAACAGTAGCAAAATTACAGTTATGAAGTTGCAACAAAAATAATTTTATGGTTGGGAGTCACCACAACATGAGGAACTGTATTAAAGGGTCGCGGCATTAGGAAGGTTGAGAAACACTGCGTCTAGTTCATCACTTTAACCAAGCTGTCATTGTCTTTATGGAGCATTCCCCTTTAATTGTACCAGTTCTGTGAATATGGTTAATATTTTCGCTTCCTTTTTAAAAATTATAATCATAGTGAACATGCATTTTGCTATCTCATCTTTTGCTACCTAACACATTTTGTTAGCATTTTCCATACTGCCAATCAGCCTTCTCAAACATCATTTTTAATTTGTATGTTACCCAGAACTGATGCACCATAACCTGCTTAACTAGCTCTTTTTGATTGGATACCTTGGTTACCTTTATTTTTGGTAATGAGGTTCTTTGAAAGTCTGCCAGTGTCCAGAGTAATTTCTCCCTATTGTCAGCCACTGTCCCCCTTCTAACAATAGGTAGGTGAACAAAAGTATATTTGATAGTTGTGATTGTCAGTAAGTCATGGTGATCTTTAAAAAAATTTTTTGGATTAAGTTATTTTCCTCAGTCTCTTTTGTGAAACTGTTTAATTTCTTAGATTAGGTGTACATGGGAGTGGAATTAATGTCTAACTATACTTATTCACACCACTTCCTCAAAGATAAAATTGTGCTGTGTTGACAAAGGTATTTGCAAAAAAGTGCTCTTTCAAGTTATTTTTCTAATATTCATGAGGATTGGTTTTTAACTCGATACATTTGCCAGTACCACGGTGTAGTGTCTGAGAGCCTGGATTCTGAACCTAAACTCCTAGACTTAAACCCTGCCTCTCTCACTTCTTTGCTGTATGCGTGGGTCTAGTAGTTACATAACCGTTGTACCCCAGTTCCTCATATGTAAAATGGGGTTGCTGCTAGCTATTTTGTGAAGTTGCTCTGAAGAGTAAGCAAGTTAATGCTTTTACAGTACTTAGAATACTAGCTGGCATGTATTCTTATTTTAAGAATATTTATGTGTTTTGGTCTTCTCCAGAGAAAATGAGAAAAGCCCTTCCTAATTCAAAAGTCTCTGTAAAGTTGTACCAGGTTTGGACAAAATTGTTGAATGTTTTTAAACAAAAATAAATGCTTTGACCATTTCATAAATAAAGCCAACTCAAAGAAAATAAAAGCTTCCCTTAGGCTCTTAATTATTTCTAGTTGGTAATAGGGACTATGAAAAGAGGGAGAGAAGCAATGGAAGTTCTGTTCTTGAGCTTGAGCTGGAATGTGATCATGGTTTTTAGTTAGGCCAGGTACTGTCAGAGATGTCTTTCTCTTTTTTCTTTGATTCTTTGCCTCTTTGCTTAGACTTCCTCCCAAAAAGTACTTCTGATTGCAATCTATTGTTAACATTGTTTATATAGTGCTTCTGTCTCAAGGCATTTAACTTGTAAATTGAAGGTCTCCGTCTAAGCCATTTGTTTGGTGAGTCTTTTACTTTAAATTTTATGGCTTGTGGAATATCACTAGAATAATGCATTGTTTCAGATATATGTCGCAGCCATAGGTGTAATAGGGAGAAAATGGGAGTTTAAATTTATATGTGATGATATTTAAATTTTATTAATGTTTTAATAGTTAAATTATTACTTTGAGACTATGAATGAAGTTATTTGTGTGTGTGTGTGTGTCTCCTCCAGAGAAAATTATAAAATCCCTTCCTAATTCAGAGGACCTTGCAAAGTTGGCTCCTGACTTTGACAAGATTGTTGAAAGCCTCAGCCTATTGAAGGACTTTTTCACCACAGGTAAGGAAAGACCTATGTTCGATCTCATTTAAAATTTTAGGAACCACAGAGGAAAGGTGTATTCACTTGTTTATTTCTATCTTTTAAATGAAAACATTTAGTACAAATGAAACAGTTTTTTGAAAACACAAAGTTTTGTTGTGCAGTGATTTTAATTTTTGTTTAGCCCAGCAGAATGAAAGTTTGCAACAACTTAAACAAGCTAGGCCTTAGGCAGTGAGGGAAAAAATATCACTTGTTCTTGACAAGTAGATGAGACTTCCTATGTGCTTGCTTTTCATAATGGGTTAGAGTCAATTTGGTGACTTTAAAACAAATTTTATTATGATGAACCATAATGAGTAGAATTTACTAAGGTTAATCCTGGTGTATTTGCTCAATTACTACCCTATCTTGATCTACACCTGAGATCTCAGACATCTTTGCTTATTCCTGTTAAAGTTTTACATTTCTATTTCCCTTTCTGCTGATTTTTCACAGGTCACAAATTGGTTAGTGAAATCATAGGAGCTTCTGACCTACTTCTCTTGTTAGGTGTGTAAACAGACATTTTTGCTGATCTTAACATGCCTTCTAAATGCTTCTAATAAACTACTTGCAAATAAAATTTCAGACCAAATTTATAATGCTGCTTATGCTGAATTTCAAAACCCCAGAACTGTATTAGGCAAATTCATTCTCTTTCAGGTCAAAATAATAAAATAATTATTTTGTAGTAAAACTAAAATTCCTAAATATATATCTGTATTTTAAGATAAAAGCTATTAGGAAGAGAGTTTGCCGTACCAGAGTATTTTCTTGAAATTGATCTGATTGTTTTTGATATTTAAAATGAAAAGTAATTTTAGTTTGTCTCATCTGTCCTGTCATAGGTGACATTTTAAATTTATTTTTGTATTGTATGTAATCTTTACATAATGGCATTGGTATATGGCTGAACTGTAAGTACACTCATGTACAGTACTTCTTATCAAATACTGTTTTATTTTTTATTGTAATTTTCAGTGATATTTTTAAAAATAGGTTAAACACATGCTACAATTAAAAAAGTTTTTTTTTCTTGAATGGATTACTAGTATTTTCCTTAAAATAAAAACAACTTTCCAAAAAAGGGATACTCTAAAATCCATTTACCATTTAAAAAATATATTTTTTTGTTATTGATTGTGACAGCATGGATGGACCTAGAGAATATTATGCTAAGCAAAATAAACCAGTTAGAGAAAGATAAATCACATGATCTCACTTATATGTGGAATCTAATGAACAAAATAAATTGAGAAACAAAATGGGTCCAGAAACATGGATGCATAGAACAGAATGACAGATCTCAGAGGGGACTGGTGCAGAGGGGATGGGAAGAGATTAACCAAAGAACATATATTCATATAGGCAAAGCCCCTGGGCACACAATAGTGTGGGGAAGGCCTGAAGTGGGGCAGGGGCTGCATGGAGGGGGGCAAAGGAGAGGAAGATGGGGACGTCTTAATTAAACATAATTTGGAATTTAGATTATTGACATCATTGGAGAATTTAAAGGACTGTGTATTTATCTTGAAGGTTCTTCTGGAGAAACCACATTTAGAGCAACAGATCATGGACCTGAAAGTGACAAGCATTATAGAAAGGTAAGTATAAGAGAGAATTCTTCATGTAGGTAGTCTTGTAAGATTTTTAAAAAGGTTTTAACTTACCTGCAAGACTTGAAAAATGGTAACATTTGAGGAGCAAATATAAAACACCATACTAGAGTATTATTACTGGCCTTGGTACAAAGTGCAAGGTACATACAGCAGTTTTAGAAAAGTAATCGGAGAAGCCTATTTCTTTCAAATACGTTCTGTGAAATATTAGTTTCAACCTAACAAAAGGTTTTGTTGTTATACATGAGTGGGAGAAGCTGATATAAATAAAAAAGAAACAAGCAGGTTTTTTTCTTTTTCCTTGATTTCTTCGATCTTAATGGACTCCTGTCCTTTGTGCAGCTCCAGATGTCTGAGTGTGCAGGGTTTTCCAGATTTATTTAGCAGCAGAACCTTTTCCACAAAATATCTTCTAGGAAACAATGTGTGCTGCTTTTTTTTTGTTAATCCTCACCTGAGGATATTTTTCCATTGATTTTTAGAGAGAGTGAAAAGGAGGGGGATAAACAGAAAGAGAAACATTGATGTGAGAGAGACACATCGATTGGTTGCCTCTCTCACAACCTGGGCTAGGGTTCGATTCTGCAACGCAGGTACGTACCCTTGACCAGAAACGAACCTGTGACCCTTCAGTACGCAGGCTGACGCTCTATTCACTGAGCCAAACCAGCTAGGGCTAGGGACCAGTGTTTTATGTCATATACTTAGGGGAAATAATAAGGTAGTAGGAAGCATGTTTTAGTAGGGAATAAATTCTGTTATATTGATAGTCAACAAAATTATGTATGTATGGGGTTATTTAGGGTTTGTCGATTTCAAAACATACTAACAAAACCCATATGAAAGTTTTAGAAAATTGCTTATGTAGAATAACGTTTCTTTGTATTTATATGCATATGTTAACCTTACATTTTCTTAGTCTTTTTTTATATTTTGGAATTGATAAGAAAACTGATTCCTTGACTATTAAAAAAATGTGTGTTTAGGCAGATACATATCTGGAAAAAATACTCTGTGAACATTTTAAAATTAAATATGGACTATGTAGCTTTTATACTGAAGGTTATGGTTTTAATACATTGAAAAATAAATTATTTTATGTTTATTTGAGAAGCAGGAAGAAAATTTCTACGTTTCTATCACTCTCCCTTTCCTTTAACATTGAACTTTTTACATACTATTCCAAGTTTTAATTATATTTCAAAGGGTTTTTTTTGCCTTAAAACTTGAACTTTTGGAGAAAATATTTGAAATACCTGAGTGTGTGTGTGCACCCATGCGTGCGTATTTGCCTTTTAAATTGGTGTTTTTGATACCTTTTTCATTGGCTTTATTATAATTAAGGGATACTCTTAACTATTCATGCTACTGGGGAGAAAAAAATTGAATTGAAATTAGCCAATTATGCGCAGCTTATTTTGAGCCAAGGCCTTGACCCTTAATACAGGTAGACCTACTAGAGAGGAGCTAATTTAATTGGGGAGAAGGAACCTCTGATATGATAGTGTGTTTTTGAGTGACAAGATTTCTTGTTGCCTAGGACTCAGTGGTCGGCAAACTCATTAGTCAACAGAGCCAATATCAACAGTACAATGATTGAAATTTCTTTTGAGAGCCAAATTTTTTAAACTTAAACTATATAGGTAGGTACATTGTTATTAACTTAATTAGGGTACTCCTAAGGCTTAGGAAGAGCCACACTCAAGGGGTCAAAGAGCTGCATGTGGCTCGCGAGCCGCAGTTTGCCGACCACGGGCCTCGGTTAGTTAGTGGATATCTGTATCTCTGCTTTTCTCTGATATAGCCTAGGATTGCTTTGGTGAATGAGAAACCTGCTTTAGGACCTAACTCAGATAATTCCCTTAAAATCCTACTACAGTGATAAATGAATAATCAATAAAAGATCAGGAGCTCTACAACATAGAAGAAGCAAGAATATGGATCTCTTAATTTATGGTGATTATCTTGCCCACTCAAAAACTCACCAGTTATTTTCAGCTGTTGTAAATACTAAATCTGGAGTTGGAATTAAACTGCTTTGCTAAATAAAATGATAGCAAATGCTATTATAAAAATTACAGAAAATGCAGTTTTAGCCTCTAATATAGTGGTTTTAATTCTATTAATCTGCAGCATTATGGTTTTAAGGCTTGACGGTTACCTGTGATACTTGAGAATAATCAACTTTCAGACAAGGTGTAGAAAAACTGATTTTAAGAGACCTGGCTACAAATCGATGATTTAAGGTAATGAAGGAGAGACCTTAGCTTAGACCTTTTTAGAAATTACTCTAAAACATCAAGTTTGAAAATTTGGGCAATGATTCCTTATGTAAAAGGTGGTAGGATAGCATACAGAGTTTAGCTGATACCTGTTTTAATTGGTTTGGTCTGGTGTCTGAGAGCTCCAGATTTAAAATGGTATTCAGGGTTTGGCCATAGTTTAATGGTTGTCTTGTTTATACCTAAGTTTCTGGCTAGACTCCTACTAGAAATGTAGAAGAAAATGTGCATCAGATTTTTTAAAATAGTAGTAATAAATTGAAAACATTTCTATAGCTTAAACTATAAAAAAGATTTGTGGTTTCTAATAGGAAAAACATCTGGAGAAATGCTGGCAAGTAGAACTGTTAGAACCTTTCAAAGTAAACTGACAAGAAAGTGACGGGGAGTTGAGGGAACACAGATGTCAGATTGTTTGACTTGAGTCTGACAGAATGAACAACGTAGTGATTACCTGTAGTTCCCAGTCTGGGGTCACTGGACTTTAGGTGTTCTGGAAAGTTGTAATGGAGGTCTTCAAAAAGTCGACAGAAAGCATATCTTTGCACATAACAATGTATGGGCTTAACTAGACATCAGGTTTCTTTGATTTTGCCTGGGTTTATTTCCATTCAGTTTGTGGACAGTAGTTATTTATGTTATGTTGATGAAAAGTGCTGATATGTATCTTTGATAAATAAAAAAAATGGAAAATACTGAAACCACTTTTCAATAAACACTTTTTATTAATCAAAAATTTTAAAACTTGTGTCCTCTTTAAAATATTAGAAAGAGCCCTCGGTTTGAGCTGAATAATATTTTTGAGACTTGGAGACCTTTAGAACTACCTGAAAACAAAATAGAAATTAGAGTGGTGAGCCTGTTTGAGTGAGTTAATTTATATTCTGAAGATTATAAACACAATTATAATTTATAGAAAATATTTAGAGGACCTTTTAAAAGTCTAAATCATGAAAAGTGGTATTAGTGTTTTAAGTATAATTATTAAACAGTAATACATTACTGCTTTTCCTTTCCATATGTTACTTTATTTCTTATTTATGTGGCTTATGTTGTACCTCCGAGCTGAAATAGCTCTTCCCTTTCCTTTGGCTAATTGCTCATCATTAAAGCCAAGTTCAGTTATTACATTCATTAAGGCCTCTATAATCATTTTAGTTCCATTAATTATACTCTTAACATTTAGACCACTTGTCATATGTAACACTATCTATTTTGGTTTGCATTCTTACTATTGATGGAATATTTCTACCACAGAATCTCACCTAGGATAGTGCTGAGCTCTTAGCAAAATCAGTTGATTGATTTAAACTCAGTAGAAAAGAGGCTAATTTAAAGTAATAAATTTGATGCCAACAAGAATGGGACTAAAGATTTTATGTAATATGTCTTTTTGCTGATTACCTGTGAATTTCTCTTGGCCTTCAATATGTGGCAGCTATTGAGGAATACAGGAATGTTAGGTAGTACATATAGTATTGAATTGTAACAAAGCAGTGTTGCTTAAGTACTACTTACATTTCTGGGATTCCTTATGTAACAGATGTGCTAATAAAATGAAATTCTCACAACCAGCACCATCAACTAACTACAAAGTTAGGAAACTTGCAACTTACGTTTGGTTAAATGGTAATGATGATGATGACTATAATCATTGTTCTCTTATCTTTTAGTACATAAGTAAATAGCATATTTACATTATTTGATTAATCCCCCCCCCCCCTTAATCTCTGTGGAGTCTGTTCTGAGGATTGGGGAAAATGGGTTGTAGGGTTGATGTGTAGTTTATTTACCGACTAGGCATTTTTTAGTAAACCAATTGGGATTTTATGCTGGAAACTTTGTGTGCAGTATTAGGTAAAAGTAGGTTGTAATTTGATTCATTTAAGCAACAGATGTGTCAAGTCCATCTTTAGGTGCTAGCTTGAACACATGCAACTGGCAGACATTATTCTAGAATGCTGTGTATAAAAACAAATAGGGTAGGGGCCCTGTTTGGCAATACATTTTTAAATAAAAATATGGTATTAAATGTACTCACCTATGAATGACTTATAATTTCAAGATTATTTAAAACTTTCTACCAAACTCATCTACTTTTAGGTTTTTGCAGCATTTTCAGTTGATATTTTGGTTTCTGGAATTATCACTGATTTTCTTGATCTGACATAATTTTTTAAAAAACAGAACACTGTACATGAAATGAGACTGTGAGAACTATAGTGTCAAATTGACATAGCTAGGTGTTTAGAGAGTATATCACCTGAAGTTTACACTAATTTTATTAATTTGTATAACAATATATTTTATATGTAATATGTACCAGTTAAAAATATGTGCTATTTCTTGAGAGAAAAATGTCTGAGCTAGGGAAAATATTGATTGAAAAAAATGTATTTTGTCCATTGAAGGAGTGTGTCTTGCACAGTAGATACACACATTTCTTGCCCTTCCTATTCCACATGGCCTTAACTTAGAAGCTGTATACCCTCTCACTTGGTATTTAGGGTGAGATTTAGTGCCTAAAATTAGACAAGGGTAACACCCTTTAGTTCTCTAGCATAGTGTAAATAGCTTTTTCTGTGTCTAATTCTTGTTTTTTCCTACTTTTTTCAGGAGGTAACAGTTAATTTCAACTATATTCACATAACAGTGCTTCCTTCAGTAACAGACTTGGAAGGAAAGTGAAGTGTCACTAGAAGGAGGGTGTTTCCTTGTAATGTAATAGAAATTAGAGTATTTACCATACAATTTATATATAAATATAAGCAATAAAATAAGGAGGGGTGTTTAAGCTATAAATAAAAGAGAATTGTGTGCCTAATAGACCAGCATTTAAGAAATGTGGAATATTTTATCACTGCTTTGGCATTGTATGAATTAGAATACTGATTGGTATGTTAGTTAAAGCACAGGTATACTACTGTATAAGCCAACATGGGAATTCCCTTCTTTAAAAGGAAATTGTTTTGAGAAATCTAAAGACTTGGATGATTAGAAGAAGTAACAAATGACATAATAAATGACAAAATGAATAAAAGTAAGTTGGATTTGGAATGAAATAAGTTGGATCTTTCTGCTTGATGAAAAACAATGACACAAAACATTGAAAACATGCCTAAAAAAAATTATGGGAATGATGAGGGTAGTGAATTGGCTTTGTCTTTCTTTGCCAGACTTATCAATGACCATAAAATAATTAATTTAAAAGATATATCTTTATAGATAAGGTTTTTATAAATATATTTTATATTAAATTTGGAAACAAATGTTGACATTTCAGTTATGTTACCACTTTTATTTTTTTTCTTCTCATACAGAAATAGCAACTAGTTTCATCCTTTGATTTATAGTATAAGTCAGCTAGTGCCATTATTATTCGCAATGATTATAGCTTTATGTATTAAAACTAAGAATCAAACAAAATAAATATCCCCCAATTATATTCTAATAGTTTCCCTTAATTTAATATGTCTTTTTTGTTTGTATTTGCTTCTTTTTTTTCTAACTTTATTTTTGTCTTTTTATTGAGGTATAATTAACGTATAAAATTATATTAGTTTCAGGTGTACAACACAAAGATTCTATATTAATAGAATATATTGTAAAATGACCACCACCATAAATCTAGTTTTAGCAGCCATCATCATATATAGGTACAAAGATTTTTTTTTCTTATGATGGAAACTTTTAAGAGCTCTCTTAGCAACTTAATTTTTTGTGATTGCTTTATTACTATAACTATTATTTTTTATTTTTTAATATTTTTATTGATTTCAGGGAAGAAGGGAGAGGGAGAGAGTGATAGAAACATCAGTGATGAGAAAAAATCTGTAATCTGCTGACTCCTGCACGGCCCCCAATGGGGATCGAGGCCGCAACCAGAGCATGTGCCCCCAACCTGGATTTGAATCATGACCTCCAGGTTCACAGGTCAACACTCAACAACTGAGCTATACTAGCTGGATTGTTTTTTATTTTTTTAAATTTATCTCTATTGTTGAAAGTACTACAGTTGTCCTCTTTTTTTCCCCATTGACCCCTTCTGGCCTGCAACCATCCCCTACCCATTTCTTCTCTGAAAAACTTTTTTTATTTCTAGAAGTCTTTGAATTATATGAGTAAACTGAATTATAAAGCCTCTGGATGAGTCTGCTAATTAAAATTTGAATGTATTTCATTTTAAGAGACTTTCTAATTGCATTAGATAAAATCATATAATTTTGATAGTTATTTTAAAAAGCTCTGAAGCTATATGAAACTCCTAATTTAGATTATTTTAACAAGTATTAGTTTCCCTAATTCCTTTTATTTAACGAGCCAGAGCACTATTGGTATGCAAATTCCTGATCTCATTCATTGGAATTTAGTCTTTAGGGTTTATAATTGAGAAAATATTAGGCTTGTGACATTGTCAACTCTTAGTTTGTCTTTTCTCCCACATTTCTCAAGATCAATTATCTAATAGGACAGAAATTAAAAATGGTGTACAGAAAATGACATGTATTTTTAGTATCATGCCACATATGAATACATTGTGGTAGAAAAACTGCACCAGATTAACATTTCAGGATTATTAAATGGAATGAATTTTAAACATAGAAATGGTGATTATTTTGTACATAGGGCCAAACTGCATTTGTTTTATTTAAATTTTTATAATTATTATATTTCCATATGTCAGTTGTGTTCTTTTATCGTGCTTTTGCTTTAGTAATTGATATGTACTCTATATTCTCAGAGGCTATTTTTATTTAATGTCAAAACAGCTCATAAAAAGTGAAAATTTAGTCAAATTACTTATTTGATGATGTGTAAAGTTAAAACATTATTTTTTAATTTGCAAAAAGAAAAAAGTGCTAAATTTTAGTCAAGTAAGTTTGTGTGTAGGCATGCAAAATATGTGAATTAATGTAAAATCTCGATTAACTTGATGCTCAGAAATTCAAATTCAAATTTTTGAGGGGCTATCATGTTTAATTGAAGACATCAGATACAGTAGCAAGAAAAAACATTTACTTAAATAATAATTTAATAAGTAAAGAAACAATTATGTATCCTCTGTTCAGTCCTATAAGAATTGTGGTTGAGAATTAAGAGATTTAGGCCTATAATGTCAACACTTATTTAAGAACTGTTTCATTTTTCCTCTCATATGGATCAAATGTAAAGTATACACTAGTTCATATTGGCAATTCAAAAATAAAGGTTGAGGTATTTGTTTTCTTGAGTTTTCTATTACTAAGAAATTTAGTTAATTACAATACCACCTTCCTTGAGCATTCCGGTTAATCTGGGTTTTACTGTAGATTGATATTATATATCTGGTTCATTTTACTCAGCAGTCACTGCATTTTCCTTTTCACTTTTTAAACTATGCTGTTTTATATTTCTGAGACATCTAATTTTACTGAGGGGAAAAAAATGGAAATGTGGTACAGAGCCCAATTATATAGTGGCTCTAAAGGTACATAAATGTTTCCATTTTTTTTGTTACATGCTTTCCATTCCTCCCTAACTTACATTTGTTCCTTTCTTGTGCCCTTTGGTTTAACATTGTTCTCCTCCCCAATTTTCCTCTTTTCCTCATTGTAAACTCATGGCAGGGTCTGCTTGGTGAGCTCATTCTCTTACAACAGCAAATTCAAGAACATGAAGAGGAAGCACGCAGAGCTGCTGGCCAATATAGCGCGAGCTATGCCCAACAGAAGCGCAAGGTGATGGATGGTTTAAGGGGGCTACTGATGTGTTCACATTAATCAGCCATTTCTACCAAGATCATGTTGCCTTAATCCATTTATGGACTCCAATAATGAGAAATTACTTTTGACAAAGTAAAACTATGAAAGATACATAATACAAATATGTAACTTTCCTGGAGAGAGTAAACATACCCAACATATATATTTTCTAAAAATTAGATTAACTGAGAGGGTCCATGGAAGAATAATAAATTATGGTTTACTTGGTTCAGTTATTTAGTCATCCTAAGTTCTTAGCCAACTTGACTACTTAATTGTTCTCCAAGTTTTTATTTCTAAAATGAAAAGGATTACTATGAATGACCATGTTAAATTATTTAAAGAATGAAATGTATTTGTTTTAGGTGAAATGGATCAGCAGAGAATGGCTTTATTTTTTATAGAAGAAAACAATTTTGATTTAATTTTTGGACATAGTTATTCTTTTTTTTTGGGTGGGGGTTAATCCTCACCAAAGGTTATTATTTTTTCCATTGATTCTTAGAATGGAAGTGTGGGAGGGAGTGGGAGAGAGGATGAGAGAGAGAAACAGCAATGTGAGAGAGACATGTCGATTGGTTGCCTCCTGCATGCACCCAACTGGGACCCTAGCCCCTTTGGTGGGAAGGCCAGTGCTCTAACCCCTGATCAACACCAGCTAGGGCAGCATAGTTATTCTTATTCAGGTTGATAAACTCATTGCATAAAGTTTATCCACATTCATCAATAAACTCAGCACAAGTAAGTTTTAACTTGGACCACTGAAAGAACATTAGAAATCAGATCTAATTCTGTTTGCTAAAGAGCAGATTCTAATAAAAGTCAGTGTAAGTCTGTACAAATATTTAGTTATAGGTACAATCAAGAAGTCCTTAAAAATATGCTTTGGCTGTTAGATGATCCCACAGTGTAGATCCCAAGCTTAATGTTCTAAAAAAACTTTCAAGATGAAATGAATGTCGTGATTTAAAGTTACATTCTGATGAAATCAGCTAGTTGTCAGATATCAGGAAAGTTTTAAAGTCATGTACAAATCTTAGGAAGAAAGATTCAGTCATGCATATAATGAGCTTCCTGTAGATTCTAGTATTGGAATCAACCAATATTATAATGATTTAGTGCAATACTCCTGCTAACTAACCTTGTCTCATTTTGGTGTTTAACACTTAAGAGCACTTATCACAGTTTCCTTTATTTTTTCAGTGTCACTTCCTGGCTTTTCTCAATTCCATGGCTGTGGAATCACCTATTGTATGTGTTTAGCTTTTAGTGAATGGATAACCTGGGTAGATAATAGAAAATAAATTATTTTTCTACTTTGTTAAAGCATGTATGTTACCAAAGAAACACTTATGCTATTTTTTAAATAATATCTGTAATTCTTACAACAACACAGATAAATTATTTTTTAAAAAAGAAAGACTTATTTTAAATGGTGCTTTAGCATTCTCTGTTCTGTATGCTGTTGAGAGTGCCATTTAAATATTCTAACAAATTGGATGCTAAGGCTGAGCCTTAGCTTTGTTGCAGAAGGAAGGGGAAGGAGTTACTCCGTTCTCGTATGTTGTTTAGAAATATGAATATAGTTCTAGTTAGAAGTTATTCTTAAGTGTTCACAATGATAAAATAACTTGAAATGAGTCCTATAGATCTGCCATTTTCAGATTTTAAGATATGGTTTAAGGTTTTGTTTTTTTTAATCTGATGATTTAAGGGCTATTAGTAGTGAATACTGATTATTTTCTACATTGCCAAAGGTTAATGCTCATTTGAGGCCTACTTGCCATTTTTCAGGCATTGTGATATTCCATTTCAAATATTTATTGGGTTATCCAATAACTTCTATGCCTCACTTTCCTTGTTTGTGGAATAGTGACTGATAGGACTGTACCTTCATCTATTTTATTACATTGCACAGTGGATCGCCAAATCGTGGCTGTCCCTGCCCACTGTGAAGTTACCTTGGGTAAAAGTAAATGGGACTCTAAAACCATTTACACTCTTCTGTAGTAAGAGCGCTCTTCATCATTCCCCCTACTTTCCTAAAAAATAGTTTCCTTACTGTATCTTCCCTACTTTTCCCTTATAGTTAGTACACAGATGACTTTTCAGCCATTCACCATAATCATCAAAATCCTAATTCATAAGATTTCTGTCAATCCAGGCATTTGATGTTTACTTTAGGTATAAAACCACAGCTTTTTGTTACTTTTTAATAACTCTTTCATCCTTACCTTCTTGAAAATATAAGTAAGGCTTCATTTTTTATATCATGCTAGTAGTAGCAGCTATAAAATTCCCCTTGTATCTCCTGAGCAAAGGAGCTCCTGCAGGGAAGATACATTAAAACTGCCTTTGGTAGTTTTGCCTCCTATGAATATGTACACATACAAAGACGTTTTTGAGGCTTTCATATATGTGTTTTGGTATTTCAGAATGGCCACAATGGCTTAGTAGGGAAAAATACTTAAAAATTTTAAATCAGGCTTGGTTTTGTGAGGAGCTAGTAAAGGTTTTTGTCTTTCAGCTTTAGCTTGTTTCTGCGGAGGATTCCGCTCTTTCCGTCAGTTTCACAGCCCTGGAATTGTAGAAAAGCCCTGGTTTCAAGACCATTGATACCCATTTCTGTCAGGGTGAGTCCTAAATTAACTTCATAATGCAAACTGAATATATTCAACGGGACAAGAACTTATTCTTGTCATAAGGAGTTGAATTTTATCAGTAAAGTTCATCAAAATAAAGTACATCCAAATTGCTAGTTAAGACCTTAAATAAGCTAGTCTCTTAAGAAAATATGTATAAGTATCTTCTCATTAATACTTATTTACCTTGTTTCCTAGAAAACATTAGGTATAATTCTTGACTCCACCATCCCTTGTCTTATAATAAAACATTAATTTTGATGTTTCAGTAAGCTAAACAGATAGAAGGTAAAATGGTGCATGAGTTATTTCTAACAACCATGCCAGAGGGCAAAAGATAAATCTACATACTCCTAAAAATATGAATTTATAAAAATCTTAACAGTCATGATACTAAATACTGTTAGCATAAAGATTGTGTTTGTAATATTCTAATAACCTTATATCATTTTAACTTTTTGTATACCCTTTTTATTTTACCAAACTACTAAGATAACCTTTTAAGCCTCTGGCTTATAATAAACAGCCTAACTTTTTGGTGTAATTGTATTGGTTTCTTAATTATTGCCCCATTGTGTAGAGTAATGTTGAATTTTCTATTTAATTTAGGATATATTGCATGAAATCATTAAATATTCACATTCAAACTAAAACAGTTTATACTGATACTGTTTATATATTTCATACTAATTTACCTGCAGTTGGATGAATATTTAATGGAACAAAATAAATCAAAGTACCTTTTAAAATGAATTGGGAATTTAATCTGCGTAAAAAAGTTTTTTATGACCACATTGTTACAGTGTGATGGCATGCCTTATGATCGAAATGTGGAATTATTTATTTCTCCTTTGGCCTTCAATATTTTGTTCTTTGGGTTATGGGCTCCTCTCCAGCTTTCTTGTTTCCTCACATTTTAGGAGACTATTAATAATTCTTGCCCATGCTACACAAACACACAGTCAAATGAAAAGAGTTTCTATCCATAAGTCTCTACTTGCTATACAGGAATGAGAAAACAACAAAAAAGTTTGCTTTATATTACCTTTTTTCTAATTACTAAAACATAGTTAGAGATTTTTAGGCATAGGCTTTTAAGGAAAAAATAATATGTACCTATTACTTCTAACAAGCATTGACATTTATAAAAAATATTTTAAATTGATTGCAGAGAGGAAAGGAGAGAGAGAGAGAGATAGAAGCATCAGTGATGAGAGAGAATCACTGATGGGCTGCCTCCTGCATGCCCCCCACTGGGGATCGAGCCCACAACCCAGGCATGTGCCCTGACCAGGAATCGAACTGTGATCTCCTTGTTCATAGTTCCATATTCAACCACTGAGCCATGCCGGTTGGGCGTCATTTTTATTTAAAAGAAGTATTTGGGGAAAACTTTGAGAAAGTATTTGGGAATAGGAATTAAAATCTCAAATTAACTTTATTGCATGGATTAGAATTATTAATGCCTTCTTGAACAAATCATTTAAAATTTGTTCATATATATTTGCTATCATGATGTCTTGATTGCTTAAATAGCCAATGAATAACAAGGATTTACATGAATTTTAACCAGATTTTTGTGTCCTATGAAATAAATTCATGTTTGCAAATTTTGATGATCAGAAATTAGACAGTTATTTTGAAAGACTGAGAATAACAACTCTGTACCTCACCAAGGAGTCAAAACACAGTTACGTGGATTTGTCATAAATGACATCATTTTGATTAAAATTAATCATTGTGTTTGATATTTAGAATTGTATTGTGACAACTTTAAAGCCTGTTACACAATAAAGTTCTTTGTCGTTTTTGGATATTTTACTTTAGAACTATTAATATTAATAACAATTTGAAGTAGTTTCTGCAGTACCTGTGATCTTGTCCTACTTTTGTTTTATGTCCAAATTAATTTTAGTTGCTTTACTTGACTTCATTGCTACTGATGCATTTGCTATATTATGTGTTAACAGATCTTGCACTAGAACTAAATTTAAAAACAATCATCTGGCTCCACTTATAGCTCTGAAAATGCAAGTGGTTCTTTGCATTTATTAAATACTTCCCTACTTACAGAATGGAAATAGATAATATTTGCTTAAAATATACACTATGATCAATGAACTTTTTCAGTAGCTGTAAATGATAACATGTATCTGACTTCCCAAAACACTTTTCTGTAGGGCTGTCAATGTTTTATTTCTCCATGTATCCAAGTGCCTGTACTTGAGCACAAAACAAGCTGTGAAGAACATAGTAACCATATATGTCTAATTTTTCTAACAAGCCATTCATAAGAAATGACTAGAATGGCAACAGGAAATGATTGCTTTTTAAGGTTTTGATTTAATATGAAATTTAATGAGCTTTTCTTATTGATGAATATAATTGTTTTTTACTTTCTTAACTATCATTTGATTTAAAATTGCTTTGATTATGCATATAAAATCAGTTTTTACTCTTAAAATACTTAAAAAAAACATTTAACTTATGGTGCATCCTATATAAACCTAATTCTATTCAAAATTAATTTCTTTTAAACATTTAGGTGACAGACAAAGAGAAAATTGACCAACTTCAAGAAGAACTTCTACATACCCAGGTAATTCTGATGTGTAAGAAGAGCCAAGGACTTTTTCTTATCCTATATAATAAAAGGCTGGCCACTGGTCACTGTCTGCAGAGCGATCAGTGGGGTAATTGGGCCTCTGCTCACACCTGCCTTGGCCTGGCACTGCCCACTCACCTCCATCATCCCGCCACGGTCCCACTCTCATCAGGGCCCATTGGGGCCGGCAGTGCCTCCAATGCCGCCCTCTGCCAGCAACAGGTCACTGACACCTGCCATGTTCCATGCCGCCCCCTGGTGGTCAGAGCATGTCATAGTGAGCCCTCTAACTCCCGGTGGAGGGGACAATTTGCATATTAGGATTTTATTATATAGGATACTATTATAGACTATTACTACATATAAATGAATAATTCTATAAAAATGTTTATAGTAGAATCTAACCTATGGGATGGACTGGCTTCTGGCATGATTCTACCTGTTTCATACTACATAGTTGAACTAAATATTATGTTTTTCTTTAATTTGGCTTACTGTGGCATTCTCTGAGGAGTGAACCATGAGTTCCTGTTATTTTCTATATTCTTGGAAGATTGACTACAACTTAAAAAATATTCTAAGAGATATTTTCCATTATATTATAGATTGAACATAAACATTCTGCTGGTTGTAGGATTGAGTAATTCTTAATAGTTTTTCAAACATTGTAATGCTTAGAGAAGAAATTATAGTGTAAAAACTGAGAGGACCAGTTAGAAAAGGATCACAATTATTTAAGAAGAGTATGTAGCCAAGCATTTATTTTTGACAAAACAACCTGTCTAAATGCTTTGTCTTCTTAAAATCTGTTTTTATATCAGTATTTTAAAAATTAATGTGTAATCTCTGACCACAGAAACTTATCAGAAGTTGGAAGAGTTTGAGCCCTTGACTCATACCTTTCTATATACTCAAAACTCTGACCTTGGATAGGCTACCAAGTATCCCTAATCTCAGATTCCTAACATGTTTAGTCTTTGCCTGACGTGAAGGCTTAAGGAAATTAATGCAGGTGCAACATTAACTAAAGGGGTTATCACATAATGCATGCTCAGGCACTGTTAACTATTATTATTTTACTAGAGGCCTGGTGCACGAATTCATACACCAGTGGGGTCCCTGGGCCTGGCCTGGGATGGCTAAAACCGGCTCTCCGACATCCCCTGAGGGGTCCCAGATTGCGAAAGGGTGCAAGCTAGGCCGAGGGTCCCCACTGGTGCATGATTGGGGCCGGGGAGGGACACGGGAGGTTGGCCAGCCGGGGAGGGACCGCGGAAGGGCTCCTGGGCATGTTGAGTCCATTGCGCTCAGTCCCAATCAGCCGGACTCCAGCAGCAAGCTAACCTATGGATCGGAGCGTCTGCCCTCTAGGGGTCAGTGCACATCATAGCAACTGGTTAACTGGTCGGCTGCCCCCTGGTGGTCAGTGCACATCATTGCAACTGGTCGACAGGTCAACTGTCTGGCCCCTGGTTGTCAGTGCACGTCATAGGGAGTGGTTGAGCATCCTTAGCATATCATTAGCATATTATGCTTTGATTGGTTGAACAGACGACTGGACACTTAGCATATTAGGCTTTGATTATATAGGATATCATTGCAATTAAAACACAAAATAATGTGGGGAATGGGAAGAATTTGAATTTTTGCCAAATTGTTCCTATAATGAAGACTTAAAAATTTTTGATGTAATAGGAAATATTGCTTCATGGAATGTACTTAAGGACTGGCTTCTTTAAATGCTTACTTTTTTTTTTAAAATATATTTTATTGATTTTCTACAGAGAGGAAGGGAGAGAGATAGAGAGTTAGAAACATCAATGAGAGAGAAACATCGATCAGCTGCCTCCTGCACATCTCCTACTGGGGATGTGCCCGCAACCCAGGTACATGCCCTAGACCGGAATTGACCCTGGGACCTTTCAGTCCGCAGGCCGACGCTCTATCTACTGAGCCAAACCGGTTTCGGCTAAATGCTCACATTTTTAAATAATTTAATTTCTTCATTGTAAATACCAAAGAATTTTTCAAATAAAATGCCAAATTATAATAGAAAACTATAGTGGAATTTATTGTTTGAGATTTTCATAATTCTCTAAACATTTTCATAGGAGCTTTTTAAATGAAATAATTTATTTTGAATAGTCAGGAAATATGACTTCAGGATTTTGGAAGCCTTTAATTTAGACTTAATGTTATTAACCCATCTTTTTCTAATGTAGTTATGGTATTATTTGGTTTCAGTTAAAGTACCAGAGAATCTTGGAACGGTTGGAAAAGGAGAACAAAGAACTGAGAAAATTATTGTTGCAGAAAGATGACAAAGGCATCCATCATAGAAAGCTTAAGGTATTTTAATTTTATCTTAATTTGTTGGTTCTCAGAACTTTGCGGGTTCATCAATACTAGTGTGTAAGGGACCATAACCATACGTGTTCTATCCTCCTTTGTCACCTGCTATCCTTCAGGGATAGGAAGTTCGCTTCCTATATTAGCACATTTTATAAAGTGTAGTTTCCAGACATTGATTTTAAACTATGCCCATAAAATCTTCATACTTTTACCAGCCATTTCTCATGAATCAGTTTATTTTTCTGAAATACCTAGTATATCTTTAGGCCTATTTCGTTTCTACAGCGATAAAACCAGAATTCTGAGTTGATGGATGTTTGTATATGACTTACCATCATTGCCTTACTTATGTTTCCAGTGAATGATTAGGCTACTTTCTTCAGTTTTAAGAAAGTTAACATTTTCTTCTGGAAAGTTCCTTAGGCATTTTAAAGAATTTTTGGAAAAGCATATGCTGTATTTTTATCAGCATATTGGTAATTACCATTATCAATAAAGTAAATCTTATTTCCCACTAAACCAAGTTGTATGTATTAAATTAAATTGGAATAATTCTTCTAACTTGTATCCCCTATGAATAAACTGAATTTGGGTGTAGCAAAACTGCAATAAGTCATGGCACAGACATTTGGTACCATGTCCAAAGATATGTAATTGTAGTTTAAGCAACACGTATTAGTAGTTCTGCTCTAAATCAGGATTGTATAAAACAAATAAATAGCATGGCTTTATTTACAGGTTACACACAGCAATTGAGAAAAGTTATGTCCAAGTGTTAATATATTTTGAAAGTTTATGTCAGAAAAAGTATATTCTGTCATAGAATAAAATGTCAATGAAAATTTAAAGAATTTTTTGTTTATTTCTTAGTGGAGGGATCGCAGTTGCTTCACATTTATTATTTCTAGCTGTTAAAAGATGAAGGGAACTGTAGGCCCTTATGTTGTTTCTACTGTAGGGTTAAAACTTACCTTTAATTATTAAATGTTTGATAGCAGAACTTTTTTCCCAGCCAGTGTATTTGTTCATTTATTCATCAAATACTTGAATCTTGTTATTTGTCAGGTACTGTTTCCACTTACAGAGAGAAACAATACAGGATGTCTGCCCCTGGTGCTCTCACTTATTAGCTGTGCAGTTGTCAAAGTGTACTTAATCATGCTTACTGGCTTAACCATCTTTTTGGTCATCCTTTCTCCACTTTAATCTTCTTTTCAGTCTTTCTTTCCCCGCCCCCCACCTCCTATCTATTTCTATCTCTATCTCTAGATCTGACACACCAAATTTGGTAGAAGATGATTTCCTTTCAGTTGGTCATCTAGCACCTTATTTGGCCTTTATGCTATTAATGGTTTTCTTTGTTGGGCATTTAATATTAACTCTTCAATATTAAATAACAACTTCCCTCTTTTACCATTTAGTTAGAAAGTTAGGAAATCCTAAATTAATGTACTTTAATTATCAGTGTATCTCTAAGTAAAATAAATTGGATAAATTAGATAAGAAATGAAATTTTATTATATACTGTTTTACTATGACTGTATTTGCATAATTAGAAAAAAACAATACCATGATTATGGAAAAACATTATGAATTTATCAGCTTTTTTTTCCTCTTGACACGTCTATGGTATTTTTTTAAATGTTTTCACTATTTAATTAATGTAATTTTTTTACTTTTGTAGAAATCTTTGATTGACATGTATTCTGAAGTTCTTGATGTTCTATCTGATTATGATGCCAGTTATAATACACAAGATCATTTGCCAAGGGTAAGTGAAAACTTAATAGTGAAATGGCCCCTTAGCAAAAATTTAGGTTTTAAAAAAGTTATGTGTATGTACACACACACAATACATACACATTCATATATACATATACATACAGGTTAAACTAGAGACATATACTTTTTTATATAATATTATGAGTTATAGATGATTTTTTAAGTATTGAATGTTATTTGAGTACTTTGATCCATTGGTCGACTTACATTTATAACAAAGGAAGGCTGTTACATATTTGGCATTACATATTCATAATATCCATTATATTAAAGTAACTGAACAGTGGATTAAACTCAGCACATGAGTGAAATTTAACCTGATAGAATTGAAAATGTCTTTGTAAAGAGTAAACTAGCTATGAGAAAGACTTGTGGAACTTGAATGATCTGGTTTTAGAAATAGTGGTTTAAATTAACACAAGTTTTTAATAAAATTTTGATTCTACTAGTAAATGGGTCCGATTCATGTTTTGCTATTTATATTTTCAGTATGCATACACGTATCAACTATCAATTTTTTCATGAATGATATTTTTTAAATCATTTAACTGTAGATACTTGAAAAGACTAAAAAAATCTTGGCGGCATTTCAAGTATGTTTAAATATAAGTTGGTATTGAATAATATAAATAAATGTTATTGTTTTTGACGTAAGGTTGTTGTAGTTGGAGATCAGAGTGCTGGGAAAACTAGTGTGTTGGAAATGATTGCTCAAGCACGAATATTCCCACGAGGATCTGGGGAGATGATGACACGCTCTCCAGTTAAGGTAAGAAAATAGGCCATCTGAATGAAGTTCCTTAGAGCTTTGTTTATTATGTTGAAATGAAGAGTTTTAACTAAAGAAAGAGCATTTGGAATTATTCCTATTAGAAATAAGTAGGAGGCACAGTCAGGAAGCCAGTGTAACAGGAGCTGAATAAGGGGAGAGGAGGACAAGGGTGCAGTGGGAGGCCAGGCTATCCTGTTATTAGGCTTTGGAGTTTAGTCTGAGTAAGAGAATAGAATCTTGGAAGTGGAGTCAATAAATAGAGATAATTATCTGTCTTTAATGTAAAAAAAAGTAGAAAATGGGACAGTAGCAGTTGAAATATGTTGGGTCAGGGGAGTGTTTTAAAGATATTTATATGCTACTAGAGGCCCGGTGCATGAAATTTGTGCACAGGTAGAGTCCCTAGGCCTGGCCAGTAATCAGGGCCAATTGGGGCTATGCTGATCAGGGCCGGGCCGGAAAGGAGGCAACGGTTGCTGGGTCGGGCGCTGAAGGAACAGATGCCGGACACCAATGCTGCCATTGTCAGTTCCCCACCACTGTGCGATTCCCGCCTCCCCCCAACCCCCTTCCCTCACCACCGTGCCGCCACCACGGCGGGCGGGCAGCAGGACGATCAGGGCCTGCTGGCCAGGGGAAAGGACGGCATGGAAGGTTGGCCACACCCACCTCTGGTTCTCCGTCCCAGCCCAGGGGCCAGGGGGAGGGACTGTGGGAGGTTGGCTGGTGGGGGAGGTTGGCTGTGGGAGCACACTGACCACCAGGGGGCAGCTCCTGAATTGAGCGTCTGCCACCTGGTGGTCAGAGCACATCATAGCAACCAGTCATTCCGGTTGCTTAGGCTTTTATATGTAGATATAGATATAGATATATAGATATAGATATAGGTATGTTATGATCTGGTTGAAAAAAAAATGATGCAAGAGAGAGGGAGCAAAGTCATTGAGGTAAGAGTCTGGGACTCAGTGTACAGTTGCCCATGTAGAGTAATACTGACAATTCATCCATGGTTACAGGAAGGAAGTCTATGGCTTCAGAGTCTCTCATTCCAAAAATATTCATTAGGTGCTTAATATGTGCCAGCACTGTTCTAGGCAGTGTTTTGGTAAACAAAACAAAGATCTTTAACATAATGGGGAATATGGTGTAGTAGAGAGAGACAGATAATAATCTATTTTAATAAAAGGGTAAATAATTAGGGTGGATGTCTTCTGGATGACCTTCCAGACAAAGCCGCAGTGGCTGCGAGGGCCGAGGCGCAGCTGCAGAGGGCCCAGGCTCAGGCCAGCAGTAGCAGCAGCAGCGGGGTAATGGGGGCAGCACCTTCCCCGGATCTGCCGGGTCGCCTCCCGCAGAGGGAGGCCAGACTGCAGCTTAGGCCAGGGGCCGAGGCAGAAGCGGTTAGGGGAGATCAGGCAGGCAGAGGAGCAAGTTAGGGGTGATCAAGCCAGCAGGGGAGCAAGTTAGGGGCAATCAGGCAGCAGGGGACAAGGTAGGAGCGATCAGGCCAGCAGGGAAGTAAGTTAGGGTCGATCAGGCTGGCGGGGGGTAAGGTAGGGGCGATCAGGCCGGCAGGCAGAGGCAGTTAGGGGTGATCAGGCAGGCAGGCAAGCAGTTAGGAAGCGGTGGTCCCGGATTACGAGAGGGATGTCCCAGAGTGGAGAGGGTGCAGGCTGGGGTGAGGGACCCCCCGTCTTGTGCATGAATTTCATGCACCGGGCCTCTAGTAGACATAGTAAGTAACTAAGTTACATAGTATGCTAGGAGGTGGTAAGTGTGCACAGAAGAAAACAGTGGAGCCAGGCAATGGGAATGGTGGTACCAGGGTACTGGTAAGCTGCATGAGGAGGTGACAGCTGAACAAAGATTTGCAGAAAGTGAGGGAGGGATTCTGTGGGTATCCTGTTCAAGAGTGTTTTGTGCAGAGAGAACATTACTGCAAAGCTCCTGAGATAGGTAGCTGCTTAGTGTGTTCCAGGCCAGTGTGGCGAGAGCAGAGTGAAGAGCAGCCAGGTGATGAGGTCAGAGGGATACTGGGGAGAACAGATTACTAGAGCCTTGTAGATTATCATGCAAACTTTGGTTTTTGTTTTGAATAAAATGGAAGCCAGTGCAGTGTTTTGAGCAGAGTAACGACATACTTTTTAAAAGGCTCACTCTGACTGCTTTGTTGAAATAGACATTGGCAAGAGGTGTAGAACCAAGGAGACCAAGTGGGAAGCTATTGGAGTACCCAGGTGATTTTTGTACCAGAGAAGTCACAGTGAAAGTGGTAAAAAATGGTTGAATCTGTGATGGAAGTAGGATCTACATGATTTTTTTACATATTTGATATGGAGAGAGAGGAAGTCAGTTGTCAGGATGACTTGAGGTTTTGGCCTGAATAAATTAAAGCATGCGATTGACATGGGGTAGTCTGGATTAGAATGAATTAGCTTTGGGGAAGAAAATCAGGGGTTTGGGACTTGTTAACAAACAAGAAATTGGATATACAAGTTTGTAGAGCGGTCTGGGCAAGCTAGAGACTTAAATTTAGGAGTCATAATTAAATATCTAAAGGTAATATAGAGAGCCCTGGTCTTCCTGGGTAAGATCACCATTGGAGTGAGTAGAGAGAGAGAAGACAGAATGGAGGCTTGTGTCCTGGGCACTCCCAACATTAGAGATTGAGGGAAATGGAAACAATGAAGGAGTTTGTGAAGGAGCAACCAGCGTGATAGGAGGGAAACCAGAACACTGTGGTCTGTGTCCTGAAAGTCAGGAAGAAAATACCCAGGAGGAAGGAGTGGCGGGCAAGGTCAGTGCTGCTGGTAACCAAGGAAGGTGGAGACTAAGAACTGATTATTGAATTTACAGTGGAGGCAAGTAAGTGGCATTGTGGACACATTTCCTTCTGATTGCTTCTACTCCTTCAGAGACATAAGCTAGATTATCAGCTGCTAAGTAGAGAGAGGGGAGAGGGTATTGAAGATTGAATAAGTGGGGAGTGTGAAGTCTTTTCTAGGCGAGTGATGAGTCCAGGATTGAGTTGATGAGGGAAGTCAAGAAATATTAGGATTGCTGAGTGGTACTGATGTCCCCATTAAGGTCTGGACACAAATTTAAAGGGACACTGTATGGTTGTATGTGTGTTTTTTTTTCTTTTAGTTCAGCTGGTGGTGTATTATAGAATAGTTGGAGAATTGGAGACTTGAAATCACCAAGGATGAAGGCCAGAATAGTGGTAGAAAATGAGACAGTGAGGCTGATGCTAAAATCTTTTAGAAATGGAATTTTTTTATAATGGCAATAGCAGTTTGGTGTGATTCATACAGAGTGCACTGGGGTCTGGCTGCAAATTCAACCATGTTGTGTCAAGCTAGTTTCTTTTTCATTGCTCCATAGCAGTGATTTTTAAACTGTATGCCGCAAGAATTTTTAAAGCATGCTGTTCCTGACTATTTAGTCAGGGGCACTGACCTCTTTTCTCTTACATTGTCAAATAAAAAAAGTACAACAGCCAACGCAATAGCCATTTGGTATGAATGAATCAAAATTATACCTATTTTTTGCTGTTCTTGTTAGACCAATAGAAAATATATTTTTTGGTGTGTTGAAGAATTATAGTAATTAACCTCATGGTGTGCCATGAGATGAAAGAGGTTAAAAATCACTGTTCTGTGGTATTGTTTGGCTGTACCACACTTTACGGATCTATTTGGAATACTTCTAATTTAGGAAGAAAATGAACTGACTACACCTCATATCATGCTCTGTAATCGACTGTAAAAACATTTTAACCTTCCTTTACATTGTTGGCAGCACCCTAATTGTAGTGACTATAGATGATGTTATATTTTAGGGGTTCACTTTCTTCTGACAGGCTGATCCAGCATGAACACATTTCCTTGAAACCAACAAGACTGGTCTCTCTCCAGTATGCCCTTCCTCCTATAGTATTTTAGTATATGATATTACCAGGATTTCTCCTGGGTTGACTCTAAACTCGAGATTTTTGTGTCACCTGAAGAGTGGGATCTCCAGAATCTTGAATCTTGACTTAGTGTGTTAGCCTCGTTAGCAGCTTCTTTCTGCTTTGTTTCTTAATGTGTAAATGCCTCAAAGGGAAATTGTACACAGAATGTTCTGGAGGGCTCAGAATTTGGAGATTCATCACTGCTGTGAATTTTTCTCTGGGACCTTGGCAACCTGAATCGTGGCTGCCTGGGCTTCTCAATCCAGTAAAACTGTTACAAAGTTTTAAGCTTTTCTCTCAGGCCACAGATTAGCAAATGCCCTGGGGAAAATACCTGCAGGAATTACCCCCCCCCCCACAAATTCTTTAGGGTCTTGGACTCAGTCCAGGTTGCTCTCTGATGCCTTCAAACAGATGGTTTTGTTTTCTAGCCTGTTAATCTAACCTCAGTAGAAGGAATTGTATTTTAAAAGTGAAATTGGATCATTATAGTGAAGCTTGAAAAGTTACACTTAAAAAATCAAGAAATGTGAAGTTGAGAAGTTGAAACCATTGATGGTTAACCTATAAGTTGTTAGAGAATTTCTTGCACATATGGCACTGTTTGGGGAAAGGCTGTCTTAGCTCTTTGAGTCAATTCTTCATACTTCCTCACCTACAACAGTTGATACAGTTAGCTCTCAATAAATAGGTGTTAAATAAGTGAATTGTCCTTTATCTGAATTTACCTGTGAAGTTAAAGGCAAGGTTTTCTTTTAGTTTTACAGGTGTTAAATTGGTGGTTCTGTGCTCAGTACACTATATAATATTGACTATGAAACAAAAAAGGCAGTAGTATTTTAGGTCATGAACGATACAAAGTAGCCATTGATCTTGTTGGGCAATCACAATACATGTGATAGGTATATGGACAATACAGATAAAGAACTCTGTGGTCTCCACGTTGCTGTGTTGACAGCCCCAGGAATCCTCCTGATGTGTATGTAGTATGAAGGGACACCTGGATTTGTGCGATGCAGGGGCCCAGTCTAGACCATGTAAGTGCTATGGGAATTAATATGAATTGTAAGTGCATTATTACATTTCAATTTTCTATTAATTCCAGGTGACATTGAGTGAAGGTCCTCACCACGTAGCATTGTTTAAAGATAGTTCTCGAGAGTTTGATCTTACCAAGGAGGAAGATGTAAGTAGCATTCATGTGAGGTTAATGTGTGTAACTTTATAACCTGTGTAAGCTTATGAAAGACAACTACAGGGAATATTTGTTAACTGAAGGTTTTCTCAGGACTTTGTTGTTTTCCGTTCATAGCTTGCAGCATTAAGACATGAAATAGAACTGCGAATGAGGAAAAATGTGAAAGAAGGCTGTACTGTTAGCCCTGAGGTGAGTGTGCAATTCATTTCACCAGTGTTTTGTGGAATCTAATGGTCATGATATGAAATAAATCATGATATTGACATTGATATTTAGATTGCTGCTATTCCAAGATAACAGATATTTTTAATATTCCTAATAATATATCATTTTGTAGGAAATTGTCTTAGAATAATTGCTTTTAGGATCAGAAAAAGAATAACATTTTTCTGAGCACCATATCTGAATGGATGAGATACCGACTTTTCAGACTATATATCACCAAAGAGTTCCTAGCAAATTACCCCCCCAATATTTTTTGTTTTGTTTTGTCCCCTGAGTAGACCATATCCTTAAATGTAAAAGGCCCTGGACTGCAGAGGATGGTGCTTGTTGACTTACCAGGTGTGATTAATGTAAGTATATACAAAACTTGTATTTTGTCATATTCCTTTGTGGAAAACATTTATAATGACATTTAAAACCTTTTTCTTTAAGACTGTGACATCAGGCATGGCTCCTGACACAAAGGAAACTATTTTCAGTATGAGCAAAGCTTATATGCAGAATCCTAATGCCATCATCCTATGCATTCAAGGTAAATATATCACAAGATTTTTAATTGCACTGATATGCTTCCTTTAGCAATCCAGGCTTTGCTCTAAATATGCATGTTACATAAACATGCAAGATAAATATGTTTCACCCTCTTTGTTTTATTGGTAAATAGAATTGAAGTTGGGAATAATTTTGTAAATTTCACTGTAGGCATCATAGAAATTTTTATTGGCTAGAATATCTTTTCATAACAAAAGATGTATTAAGAAAATTTTTCTTACTATAATGTAGACACAACAGTGTAGCTTGTAGAAAATTTAAAAATCCATTTTGCAATTATTACAGTGTCGTATTTTTATTTTATTTTTCAGATGGATCTGTGGATGCCGAACGCAGCATTGTTACAGACTTGGTCAGTCAAATGGATCCCCATGGAAGAAGGACGATATTTGTTTTGACCAAAGTAGACCTGGCAGAGAAAAATGTGGCTAGCCCAAGCAGGGTGAGGTTCTTTAATATGAGACAAAAGATTCTTTGTACAAAAACTTGTATTTTACCTTATTCTTGTGTGGAAACCATTTATAATGATATGACAGGAACTGTTTATATAAAAAAAATATCCTTATGGAATACTTTATCAGAGAGTAGTAGAGGGGTTTTTTTTGGTTTTGGAAGTATTGGAAAGTTATAGTAAATTATTTAAGTGCAATTTTGAGGTGTAAATAAAATTCCATAATTATAGTTTGCTAATGTTGTATACTCTATTTTAAATAATTTTGTATACTGACATACTGTCATTAACCTTATTTGTGATGTTTCTTTTTAAGTTGATGTTCATAAATTAGTATAAAACTAGTGACAGTAAAGATTCCTTTTGGACCCTATGTATGCCTTTTTTTTTTTTTTGCAGAAAAACATTATCTTTTCTAACTGATCAAAGACTATATTTGATCATATAGCAGATTTTTATAATAGAGAAGGCATTAGATTAGGTGTTAGCAGTCTTATCTGTGCTCCACCACCAACTGGTGTGTCTTTGGGCAAATTTTGTTACTTTTCTGTATCTAGTCAATGCACAATCGAGCTTGGAAGTCTAGTTCAGTGATTTTCAACTGGTGTGCTGCAAAAAATTTTAAAACATGCAATTCCTGAGTATTTAGTCAGGAGCCCGATCTCTTTTCTCTTAGATTCAAATAAAAAAATAACAACAGCCAACACAACAATAGCTATCTAGAGTAAATGAGTCAAAATAATACCTATTTTTTTTTGTTGGATCAGCAAAAAATATATTTTTTGGTGTGCTGCAGAATTTTAGTAATTAGTTTATGTGTACCATGAGATGAAAAAGGTTAAAAATCGCTGGTCTAGTTGATCTCTAGGGTCATTTCATTTCTGAAATTCTGTGACTTCAACTTTCTATACACGTTGCTCAGTGTCCCTAAAGGAAAGAGGTTTATTTCAAGGTAACACTATGTGTGTTATTGTGGTTCAGGTCTTGACTTAGGTCATGCTCTCTACTTAATTGTAAAGGTGTAAGGCATCCTCATTAAGAGTGAAGAATATGTAGCCAGATTGCTTGGTTTCAAATCCTGTCCCTACTGTTCGATAGCTTTGTAAACTGGGAAAAGTTATTTACGTTTTTTAATGCTTTAGGCCTCCTCATCTGTTGGAAATGAAGGTACTAATGGCACTAGCTCATAAGGTGTGAAGGTTTAATGAGTTCAATACTTGTTTTAAAAGTGGTTGAAATAGTCCTTGGCACAAAAGTGTTATACACAGGGCGGCTGTAATCGGTTATTATTTTATTATTATACTAGAGGCCTGTTGCACGAAGAGATTCGTGCAATAGGCCTTCCCTTCCCCTGGCTGCCGGCACCAGTTTTCCTCTGGCACCCGGGATCCAGGCCTTCGCTCTGGCCAGAGCCGCCTTCAGTCTTTGCTGCTCTGGCTGGAGCTGCCTTCAGTTTTCCCTCTGCCACTTCACGCCTATGTATGCAAATTAACCATCATCTTTGTTGGCGGTTAATTTGCATATCTAGCTGATTAGCCAATGGGAGGCGTAGCGAAGGTACGGTCAATTAATGTTTGTCTATTATTAGATAGGATATTCTTATTCCCCATAGAACAACAACTTCAGATATAAGTATCTATCCCTGCCTAGAATTTCTCTCCTTTCCACCTGAAGCTTTCTGGAACTGGGCCTCTCTATCAGGTTCCCAAGACAGATCCCTCTTATGTTCACTGATTGGAGGACTCATAGGACTCAAGCACATAGTTATACTTACACCTAAGATTTATTTCAATGAAAGGAGACAAAGCAAAATCACAAAGGGAAAAGGGACAAGAGATGATGTCTGGAGGAAACCAGGCTCACGTTTTAAAGAGTCCTGTCCCAGCAGAGTCACGAAGGACATGCTTAGTCCCTCCAGCAACAGGTTGCTCATTAGAGACTCAGCACCTAAGGTTTTTATATGGACCTGGTTATGTAGGCACCCTCAGGTACCAAAATACAGACGCCCAAAGGAAAGCAGACGTTCAGCATAAGCCTCATTGCTTGCACAATTGAGCTACTGTTATTTAGGGAAAGTTTTATATCATCGTAGGGAATTGTTTACTAGTTAAGTTCCCAGATGCCAGCGTAGGACAAGAAGTCCTTTCTGAGGATTATGTTAACCCTTTAATCTGACCTTGGCTTTGCCTTATTTTATGGGTGAGGCATGCTGTGGCAGTATTTGTCCTAATATGGCGAGACGGGGAGAAGTAGGTGAAAGCAAATTTCTGTGCTTTCTTCCCGTCTCTCTCCATTATTTTCATTTCTTTTTCCTCTTGTCTAGGATAGTGAGTTTGCATTTCTTTTGAAATGTAATTTAAGCTCATAGCAGTCTTCTTTTATACCAGAGTCAGCATTAGCTTAGGGATGTGGCCTATCTTAGAGCAGGAGTTCTTACATTAGTAAGTCTTCAACTGGAGGGCCTTCTGGGAGTAGGAATTCTTTTACACTTGTGTGAATGATAGATCTCTTCAAATGTGCATTTTTCTGGGGCCAGAGACTATAGTTTTGGTTACATTTAGAAAAAGATTTTTGACCCTAAAAGAGTTGAAAACCAATGGGTACAAATATTTTTTTTACAAAGAGTATAAAAAGACAGTCCAACTTGATTAGAATTTAGATATTTGCAGAAGAATGTGGGGAAATAATAGCAGCTACCATTCACCGAATCTTCTGCATTCCTGGCACTGTGCTGAGTATCATTATTATCACATACTAGAGGCCTGGTACACGAATTTGTGCACCAGTGGGGTCCCTCCACCTGTCCTGTGGGATTGGGCTGAAACCGGCTCTCTGACATCACCCGAGGGGTCTCGAATTGCGAGAGGGTGCAGGCCAGGCCAAGGGACCCCACCGTTGCATGATCAGGGCCGGGCAGGGACATAGGAGGTTGGCCAGCCAGAGAGGGACTACGGAAAGGCTCCAGGTCATGTCCAGCCCATTTCGCTCAGTCCTTATCGGCCAGACCCCAGCAGCAAGCTAATATGTGGATTGGAGCATCTGCCCTCTGGTGGTCAGTGCACATCATGGTGAGTGATTGAGCGGCCTTAGCATATCATTAGCCTATTATCCTTTGATTGGTTGAATGGCTGACTGGCCAACTGGACACTTAGCATATCATGGCCAGAGGGAAGCCTGGGTCCCCGTGCCTGTCAGTGGCTGGAGGGAAGCCAGTGCCAGCAGCTGGGGGAAGGAAGGTCTACTCTTATATGAATTTCATGCATCAGGTCTCATTTTGAAAATGTTGGAGTATACTTAAGGCCATATAGCTAGTAAGTGGCAGAGCAGAAATTCAAACAGAGGCCTGACTCCAAAGCACTACACATCATTCCAAGTTTTAATTTTGATACTTGTGTTTTGTTTTGTTTTTAAAATATATTTTATTGATTTTTTACAGAGAGGAAGGAAGAGGGATAGAGTGTTAGAAACATTGATGAGAGAGAAACATCGATCAGCTGCCTCCTGCACACCTCCTACTGGGGATGTGCCCACAACCAAGGTACATGCCCTTGACAGGAATTGAACCTGGGACCCCTCGGTCCGCAGGCTGATGCTCTATCCACTGAGCCAAACCGGTTTCGGCGATACTTGTGTTTTAATAGAACATTTTTAATATACTAAAATTAAATGTATTTATTTTTTCCTCAAATAGAAATTGAAATACATTTTAATCCTTTTGTATAGGTTTACATATTTAAAGTAACTGTACATATACAGCATCATTAATTTTCTTTTCTAAATGGTATATAATGCTCCTTAAAATTATGTAAACCTTTATCTCACATTTATTTTTCTCACTTTTAAAAATAGATTCAGCAGATAATTGAAGGAAAACTCTTCCCAATGAAAGCTCTAGGTTATTTTGCTGTTGTAACAGGAAAAGGTATGCAAAGATGGATTATCGTAATTGAAGTTTTTGTTGTTTTCAAGTGATAAACATTTTCTCAATGAGAACCTCATTATCTTTTCCTAGGAAACAGCTCCGAAAGCATAGAAGCAATAAGAGAATATGAAGAAGAATTTTTTCAGAATTCAAAACTCCTAAAGTAGGTATCTTGTTTAAACATTTAAAGATTTGATAGGGAGTAGCTTGAACTAGTAGTTTTCACTTAAAAGTTTCTTTATAGCTGTTAGTTTAACGTTGACTTTTCAGAATTTTTCCCAGATGGTACCTACTAAATAAGTCCTCCAGCTACCCTGACAGAACTCAGAGCAGTTTATCACATGCAATACATGCTGACATAGCAAACTGCCCCTAGGATGTGGGCAATGGATGACAGCATGGACACCTGAAGTTGTGTTACTTACAAAGTGATTTTTAAAAACCAACACTTACATTTTTAAATGCATGTATTCATTTTTCTTACAGTGCCGGGGACAATTGAAGTGGGGATGGGGATGTCAAAGGGGTATCCCTAAATACCAGTAGATATTGACAGAAATTATCAGAAAATACGATACTAAAGAAAAGCAAAAAGGAAGAGCTAAAGGGCAACTGAGTTATAATAAAACTTACAAGTAGAGAGTCTCTTGAAGTGGAAAAGTATGTTTGCCTCTATATTAGTATAGTAAATCAATATAGTTCTCAGACATACTATTGAGTATTTTCCGAAGGGATAGGAGCTCACAGGTGTATAGAACTGTGCTGTCCAATACAGTAGTCACTAGCCTTGTGTGGTTATTTAAATTTAAAGTAGTTAACATCAAATAAAATTAAAACTTCATTTCTTAATCACACTAGCCACATATTTCAAGGACTCAATAACCCTATGTGGCTAGTAGTAGCTACCATATTGGTTAATTTAGATATAGAATAGTTTCTTCATCACAGAAAATGTTACTGGACAGTGTTGCTATAAAAATGTATACATGGGCTGTTCTCATTAGGTTATCATAACAAGCACATGCTCAAACTTAGTGATGGTATTGTCCTTTTGTTATTTTAGTATACTTTAACTCTTGTTACTTTTAATAGGGCCAGCATGCTAAAGGCACACCAGGTGACTACAAGGAATTTAAGCCTTGCTGTATCGGACTGCTTCTGGAAAATGGTACGAGAGTCAGTTGAACAACAGGCTGATAGTTTTAAAGGTAAGTTGGGTTTTTGAAATAAGGCAGCACATTTAGACATTGTATTAGCTGGCAATCTTAGGCATCCATGAGGTTCTTTACTCCCTTTAACAGTTGCTTTTCAGTTCATTTACTCTTAGGTAGTATGTGGAAAATACAGTATTACAAGAACGGGGTGTTTCCTCTCAGAGGAAACATTGCTGGGAGCACTTTGTGAGTTTCAACAGATTAGAAGGTGTGCAGTAGTATTTGGGAGAAAGAGCTTAGTAAACTGCAGTGAAGTCAGAGTCCCCCTTTGGGGGTTGAGGGGAGAGGAAATGTGTTAGGAATCAGAGGATTCTGTGCCTCGGCTAGTTCATGAATTCCATACTTTTCCTGCTCCATGGCTTTGCGTACATAGTTTCATTTGGTGATAGTACACATTTCTTCCTTTTTTTCATTTGGCAATCCTACCCGTTTATTCCATTTAATCCCTAAGCAACCTTGTAAGTATTAGTATTAGTCCCATTTTACAGGAGAGAAAACTAAGGACAGAGTACCTTACCTAAGTAATACACCCAGCATCATACAGCAGTAGACCCAGGATTTGAATCTTGGTATAAATGCAGAGTCCATGCTCTTAGCTACTGTACTAAACTCTTTTGGTCATGTGTTTTGTGGATTGGATGTAGAAACTAGAGTCAAGGAGATTCAGAGATGTTGAGAGCCCAGAGTACTCAGGAGGCATAGGTGCACACTTAAATTCAGTTAATGAAGAAGATATGCATGATAGCCTTTAGCCACTGCCTGTGGAAAGAAAGAAAGTCCTCTAACTTGAACACCTGTCCTTCTTCCTCAGCAACACGTTTCAACCTTGAAACTGAGTGGAAGAATAACTATCCTCGCCTGCGAGAACTTGACCGGGTAATGTTTGTGCACCTGATGTATTTTGCATATATCTAATCCAGCGATTTTCAAACAGTGTGCTGCAAGGTATTTTAAAACATGCAGCACCTGGCTATTTAGTCAGGGGCACTGACCTCTTTTCCCTTAGATTGTCAAATAAAAAATGACAACAGTCAACACAATAGCTGTCTGATGTGAATGAGTTAAAATCACAACTATTTTTTTGTCAAATCAGCAAAAACTACAATATATTTTTTGGTGTGCACAGAATTTTAGTGATTAGTTTACGTGTGCCATCAGATGAAAAAGGTTGAAAATCGCTGATCTAATCTAATATTGCACTCTAACAAAATGTATGTTAATGAGTGAAATTTGGTAAGCTACATTGTTCTGGTTTTTACCATGATTACTAATTTAAAGCTGCAAGAATGCATTCCCAGGAACAGTAATTTTTCTACAATAATTTAAATTGTTTTTAAAACATAACTAGGGTCATAGGATGTCAAAACAAGTATTTAAACGTATTTTCTGAGATGAAGAATTTTTTAAAGGCATTATAGAATTAATTGTATTTATGTAATGTAAACTTTTAAAACTTATACACCAACTTTTTTACCTTTTCAACATTTACTGTTGAAGAATATATCTAATTTGATGGGATTTAAATACTAGTTTTCCTTGATTTTAAAAATGCCATTGGTTGTAAAATAGCATCAGTTTACTAATACACTAAGTTCATATGTATTACTACTTTCATATAACATTTGGTATGTGAAAAATTTATCTGAACAAATGTTATGTAAAAAACTGCATTCAGAATTAAGTGAATAAGGTAGACATTTGTGTCAGTTTATTTGTCCTTGTCTGGATATTGGCATTTCTACAAAAGATATTAGAAGAGAAGAGTGTTATTTGCTGGTCATGCATGCTTCAAACCTGAGCTCATCCTACTAGCCTGTCAGAGGCCTTCTTTTTAGTTATTTCTGAAAATCATGGCAGGGCAAATGGACTCTCTTACGAAAATCTTTCTTGTATCTATATTGCCTAGAATGAACTATTTGAAAAGGCTAAAAATGAAATCCTCGATGAAGTTATCAGTCTGAGCCAGGTTACGCCAAAACATTGGTGAGTAGTTGACCTTTTTTCAAAAACTTTACTCTATGAATTATAATGAAATACTAAAATTTAGATTGATAAAACTGTGATTTATTGAAGCTGAATGACTCAATCCTCAAAATATAGGCAGAAACATAAATGTATCTAACCCTGTTCTAGTCTACCTATTTAAGTATTTAAGTAGAATAATTGTGTATTAAGTACCTCTTGCTTTTTACTCTTTTTTGGAGGGATTGGGGGGAGGCGGGGTGGTTGTTGTATTTGCTAGAATGATTAATTTAAAGCAGGGCATGTCCGGGCTGTGGACCATATAACGCCCATGAAATCATGTGGATTGGCCCTGCCAAGGCATTAGGGGTGAGTTAATTAAATGTTTGACCAAATATAGCAGGCTGATTTTTAAGTTGATAATTTTTATATGGTCTGCAAATGATGTTATACATATCCAAATGGTCCTTGGCAGAAAAAAGGTTCCCCACACCTGATTTAAAAGGTTATCTCACTCCCATGCTCAAAACCTATAATGGTTTCATAGCACACATCCAAAGTTCCCTAAGTGGCCCTCAGGGGCCTGCACGACCTGGCCCCGGCTGCCTTTTCACCCTCTTCCACTCGGACCTTTATTTGAGAACTCTAATGTTCTGGCCCTGGCTGTCTTGCAGTTAGTTCTTCAGGCAGCTCTATATTCTTTTAAAATCTGATTGCTTGAGGCTTTTTGTTTTTTACCTTTAATATGTTTTGTACAAATCATTATTCAAATTGAATCCTATTTGAAATTTGTCTTAAATAGCAAGTAAATACATCCTTTTGAAAAATACTCATGCAAGTGTTTCAAGGCAAGCTATCACCTTCAACTTATGCTTTGTGTAAATTTGGGTGCTCTTAAATTTGTTGGAGTGGGCACTGTAACCAAAGTGGGTTCTATATACCTCAAGTAAGCTATGTCTAAATAGCCCTTAGATTTTTTTGCAATTATCTGTTAATTATCAAATTCCTGGTGCATATCTTATCTTTCTAACAAAATCTGTGGTATCTTAAAGAATTTATCACTCTTGGAGCAGCACTATTCTTACTGCCATGCATTACAAATAGTTTCTGTACCTCTTCTGTTTGCTCAGTTCAAGATTATCAAAATTGACCATACATAGTAGTGTCCAGTCCTTGAGTTTGAATTCAGTATTACTAGTTTCCCCATCCTGGTGACCTTTCTTCTTCAGTAGGGAACACTTTTCTCTCTTTAAGCAGTCAAAGTTTACCTGTTTTTAATCTTCCCTATTAAAAACAAACAAAAAGCCGAAACTGGTTTGGCTCAGTGGATAGAGCGTCGGCCGGCGGACTGAAAGGTCCCAGGTTCGATTCCGGTCAAGGGCATGTACCTGGGTTGCGGGCACATCCCCAGTAGGAGATGTGCAGGAGGCAGCTGATCGATGTCTCTCTCATCGATGTTTCTAACTCTCTATCTCTCTCCCTTCCTCTCTGTAAAAAATCAATAAAATATATTTTAAAAAAATAAAAACAAACAAACAAAAAGGGTTTTGGTCTATACTTATTGAGTAATTATATACAACACAACTTATCTTTGTTATTCTTTGTATTTTAAGACAGTTCTATGGCTTTATGTAAGCCAATTCATTTTTAATTTACAAGAGATAGCTATATGTGCATGCATGTGTGTATGTACACAGGGAATGAATATAATACTACTCATACTAGCTTGTATGAGGATAATGATCATAAAAGATGATTTGTAAACTGTAATAACTAATAATGCCATTTGTGGCAGAAAAATTTGATGTTTCTGTAAATTGAGGGCATCATCAAATGGCATGGTTGGTTTTGTTGGAGCAGAGCACGTCTGTAATCAAAGTTACCAGCAAGAAAACGCGCCTTAATGGTAAATCTCATTTATTTAGCACACAAGTAGCTGATGAGAATTGTGCAGGAACAGGAAGCCTGCATTGCCAGATTGCCTGTTAAGAAGGCAAGGGAGAGAGCTGGGACAGCTGGCTGCTAGACGTTTACTCTGTGTGCTGCTGGAGCAGATGATTTTGTATATTTTCATCATTTTTTTTTTTTAGGCACTATAGCTTAACACAAATATAGATCAAAATAGCAGGTCCTAATTTTACTGTTCATACTACATTGAATTCACCTGCAATGTACCCCAAACATTTTTTAAAAATATATTGATTTCAGAGAGGAAGGAAGAGGGAGAGAGAGATAGAAACATCAATGATGAGAAAGATTCATTGATTGATCGGCTGCTTCTTGCACGCCTCCTACTGGGGATCAAGCCCACAACTTGGGCATGTGCCCTTGACTAGAATTGAACCTTGGACCCTTCAGTCCACAGGCTGATGTTCTATCCACTGAGCCAAACCAGCTAGGGCTGTACCCCAAATATTTTATGTTTGTGACATATTGATGTCTTAGGTAGTTTCTTTTTACTGCATAATGCCTTATGTGATATTTTAGAATGTGTGCTTAAGATGCTTATAATTGTTAAGGTCACAGGACTGTTTGATCTATATATATATGCTCTGAGTGCAGTGTTATAAGCATTTTATGTCCTAAAATAATTGTTTGTTATTCAGTTATAGACATCCTACTATACTTTAATTATATTTTAAGAAAGTTATTGGGGGTTTAAGCTTGACATATGGTACATTATAGTGAGAAATAGGCTCTCAACATTCTTACACAATATACCTGATCATCAAGAATCAGTTACTGACATTAAGCTGGAGATACTGGTATATCATTAACATGATCTGACCATCATCATAGATTTTTTTTTCCATATGTCATTTGGAAGAATAGCTGGCTAGATTTATAGAAACACACTTTTTAAAAGAAATGATATTATAGTATGGGTACAATTTTTGCTGAAGGGTATTAAGTTTATTTTGTTGAAGTTAGAAGAATGAAAGGAAAATTGGAATGCACAGTTGAGTCCTCTAACTCAAATTTAAGGAATCAAAAAAGATTTCTGATATAATCTGAGTTGTAAAGGTGGTAGGTAAAGGCAGTTTGTGACAGGGATATTGCAGAACCAGGAGGTGAAAGTAAGAAAGATGAAGCAGGTAGCTGAAGACCATCACCCCTAGTTTTAGCATAGAAGGAGGAAGGAGGCGGGAGATAAAACAGTGAATATAAGCAAGACATAGATTATTCTGGGCCTTACAAGCCAAGTTCAGAAGACTGGAATTTATCCTATGAGCAGTGAAGACCATTGAGGAGGTTTAGGTCAGATTTGCAGTTTAGAAATATCTTTGTAGTTGAGAAAATGGAAAACAGGTGGAGAAAGTTGTAAGCCAGGAGGCAGTTGTAATAATCTAGACAAGACATCATAGTGGATTGAACTTGAATGGTGGTTGTGCAAGTGGAGAAGTGAGACATTCTGAGATATTTAATAGGTTACCCAGAAGATAGAATTGACAGGATTTAGTGATTGGATGCAAAAGTAATGGAGAAGAGGCAATTAAACAGCGAGTACATCGACATCCAGTAATTACTTTGTTAGGAGTCTGTGGAATGAAGATAAATTTGACAAAGATGAGCACATAAGAATCTTTACCATGGTTTTGTTTATAAGTGTAAAAAAATTAAAGTGTAAAAAAACTTGTTCACTATTTGGAATCATGTAATATTTGATGTATCCATAGATGGATTACTGTAGAGCCATTGAAAAATATAGGATGTTGACATGGAAAACTGCATGATGTACTTTTAAGTTTAAAAAAGTATTTATAAAGCAGTATGTGTAATGATCTACTTGTGTAAATATACATGTACACAAGCATTAACTTTTAAAAATGACAACTTAAGCTGTAAATAGTGGTTGTCTACTGAAAGAGGAATTGTGGATGGGTATTTACTTTTTCTGTGTTGGTTGAAATTAGTATATGGAATAAGTCCTCTGCATTAAAAGAAAAAATTTCCATTAATTTATTA